CTACAGCTACATCACAGTCGCCGCATCCTACGGCGCCATCGGGGCAGGGAAGGCGCTAGCATACCCCATCACAACCAAACTGGCATTCAGAGTAGGTGATTTGAGACACTGTTTCACCACAGCTTCCTAATAGACAGCCCTTTGTGATGACCCGGGCTAGAAATGATCACGAGTGAGTGAGTGAGTTAATATTTAACGTCACATCGGCAATATTTCAGCCATATCGTGACGAAAACAATTTATACAATATTGGAATGAAAACATTGTGAAGAGTTAAACCTGTCAACTATGGACAGTAAAAATCCTAGAGTATCACAGATATGAATATAAAACTAGAATGTAAATCTAAAACATTTTAATTGAAGAAGACAGTACAATATAAAACACGGGCTATAGATCGCCAACAACTGAAGGTAGATCACCATACTAGGGTTCATGGGGACTTACAGTGCCTTTGCTACCTACATGGACCTTAGTTGGATTTACACCATCCCTTCAGCCGCTGGCGATTGCAGGAAGATTAAGCCAAAATTTAAAATAACAAACATACTACGATTAAAAAGTATGGTTGAGCAAAATTGACTTTGGAAGTTTTTTGGACTTACGTACCCTCTCAGGAGGACAATAATTTCTACTTCAACACCCCTTTGAGGATACAGCCACAAACAATCTAAGTTGATAATCTGAACTACCAATTATACAGCTTTCTCTATTTACAAAACATATATCAAAATTCATTTAACAAATCTATCTCTTTTAAAAAATCAATGATTAAATGATAATTAACTTTATTAAAAAGGTCCTTTACTGTTTTGATATTGAAATATTTATCCCTTTTGATGGAGAATTCAACACAGTCGAAATCATCACGAAACCCCTGATTGTCGTAAGAGTGATGAATTGGGAAACACACACACACACACACACACACACACACACACACACACACACACACACACACACACACACACACACACACACACACACACACACACACACACACACACACACACCGGAAGAACCGGGTGAGGACTGGTCTTCAGCAAGCCATGCTTGTCTTGAGAGGCGACTGACGGGACCTGGTGGTCAAGTTCTCCGACTTGGCTGATGGATGTCGTCAGAACCTAATGGCGTAGATCAATATTGATGATGTCAGTCACCGGGTTGTCTGGTCCAGACTCGATCATTCAAAGAGCCTCGTGAAACGGCTGGAATATACGGATCGTAGCAGTTTACTATCAAATAAGAAACCCGGAAAATTATATGGGACTCGGGTTTGATTATCTTTACAAGGGTACAATTTATGTTCAGTTGTATGGTGGAAATAATGAACTCAGAAGCTGACTGAGTGTGTTTTATGTAAGTGGTTCCCGAACCGGAAGGGTTTGATCTGCGGGATACTGGAAGGAGGCTACGGCGGCAGTGGCTTCATCCTCAACCAAATCATCACTGGCTTCATCAACCCTGAAAACCTCTCTCCTGACCAGGAAGTAGGGGATAACGAGTGAGTAGAAGACTGCTGATGAATGTGAAGGGAGATGAAGGGCTTGTTGTGAGAGGCTTCAGTTGCACCCATAATACACTCACTCACGCACACATAGATCCATATAGATTATATTGGTCAAGAGACGCATATGTATGTTGACCTTAGTTGATCCAAAATTACAATTACCGCAGCTAACATAAGAAACAGTTAAAACACTTACTATTATTATGTGACAGTTTAAAGTAGAAACATACCAGAGAGTCAAGACTGACTATTTTTTACGGTTCGCGTTTAATTATATTATCTATTATAAAAAGTTCTTGAACACATTACACCCTGTCAATCCCATACCACGACTGACTAATATATGTCCGTGTCTAGGTACTTTACCCAGGCAACCCTCCTGGACATGGTGCCGTCCACTTACCTGCTGCTGGGAGGGATGTACACAGTGGTCTTCGCCATAGGCATCTTATTGATGAAGGAACCACCTGATGACCCCGCCCAGGTGAGCAGGGTATCTGTACCTGATGACCCCGCCCAGGTGAGCAGGGTGTCTGTACCTGATGACCCCGCCCAGGTGAGCAGGGTATCTGTGCCTGATGACCTCGCCCAGGTGAGCAGAGTGTCTATACAGGATGACCCAGCCCAGGTGAGGAGGGTGTCTGTACCTGATGACCTCGCCGAGATGAGCAGGGTGTCTGTACCTGGTGACCTCGCCCAGGTGAGCAGGGTGTCAATACCTGATGACCTCGCCAAGGTGAGCAAGGTGTCTATACCTGATGACCCCGCCCAAGTGAACAGGGTGTCTGTACCTGATGACCTCGCCCAGGTGAGCAGGGTGTCAATACCTGATGACCTCGCCAAGGTGAGCAAGGTGTCTATACCTGATGACCCCGCCCAAGTGAACAGGATGTCTGTACCTGATTACCCCGCCGAGGTGAGCAAGGTGTCTGTACCTGATGACCCCGCCCAGGCGAGCAGGGTGTCTATACCTCATGACCCCGCCCAGGTGAGCAGGGTGTCTATACCTGATGTCCTCGCCCAGGTGAGCAGGGTGTCTGTACCTGATTACCCCGTCCAGGTGAGCAGGGTGCCTATAATGAAACAATGTTAATAATTCTCACTAATCACAAATAACTGATATCGAACGTCCCTCCAGATGATACAACTCAATGTTAGGTCGCGTTGACAATAACGCTCGGCCATTTGATACCTGCCTATCTGTACTATTTTCTACCACAGGAAATGTCAGTTAATTACAAGAGTGACGAAGGAGGAGGTGCTGTTGCTGTTGCAACGATCAGTGAAAAGGACGCGAGCACTGAGGTCATCAAGGAGTCTGACACTCAAGGGTAAGTTCCCTATCACCTACTCCAACCCATCCACAACATATCTACAACATATAATGATAAGGAATTGAAAATGCATTGCTTAAAAAAAATCACCTGTTACGTAATAATACATGCAGTAAAATTCCGCACATAAAACCTACCAGTCAATGTCTCGGGTTTATTTGTGGTTTAAGTGAGGGAATGAGGTACCTCTGTATTTCCTAGCCACGACATGACACCGAGGGAGGTCCTACACTCCTGGATATTCTATGCCGTGTGGTTTGCATACTTCTTTGAAGGTTTTGCTGTTGACGTCAACTTTTTCTTTTACAAGGTAAGCTATCTATGCATCGTATTCTAAAGAATTTTATCCAACGGCAAAAATGTGGTCAAACAGAAAGATACAATCATGTGTGACAAAAACGCATTTTGGTTTGGGAGTGTCATCGTCAAAGGTGATATACACTGCATTTCGATGGAAGAACGTCGCCTGTACGAACCCATTACTTGATGATGACGATGGATAGAACGAATGCGGGGGTGGTTTTCAAACAGGTAAATACAGTAATGTTTGTAGACGTAACCCACGCCCTTCTTTAAATGCCACTGTTAGCAGGATGGGCCCAGTCGTCTATGGCTCTGCTAATATCGCTGTGAAAGTCAGTCTAAGTAAACTTAGACTCAGTATTATTCGTTACACTGCTATACCGAGTCTAACAAAACCTAGTAGAAGGTCGCGTCAGCTAACCTTTGAGCGACCTATGACCGTCCAATCAAACGCAAGACGGCCGAACGGATTTAACCAATCAGACAACGGCTACTTGTTAGAGTTCAGCGTGACTTACAAAACGGTTTTTGTATTTTCTCTTCCCTGGTCACAAACGAAAATCCGCATAAAACACATATATTTGACCTGCAGTATATACGCTTATGGGTTTCTAATGACATGGTTACTATTTGCTTATATTTTCGCAAGATGACATCCTTGAGTATTGACAAAAATGCTATTTTCAGCGACTGTTTACTCATTGCGTGTATCACTCGGAAGCGATCGTGCGGAAAATAGCATTCGGAGTCGTTCGTGATTTTTAGGTAAAGGCTCAAACGGTATGTGCGAATGTTAACTTACGCGATTTGGTAAGCTGTTTTCTGATTGGTCAGTCCAAAAGGTTAGCTGACGCGACCTTCTACAATGTTTTGTTAGACTCAGTATAGCGGTGTAACGAATAATACTGAGCCTAAGTTTACTTAGACTGTGTGAAAGTTAGAAGGTCAATGAACGTAGGTTCGACTCCAAGATTTGCCGTGTGAGGTATTTTAGGTTTGTCATCATCATAACCATGCTCATGGCTCCTAAAGCTAGAAACGTTTAATCCTCTGACATGATATCACTAAGATACTGTTCGGGATGGTAGGGTAGCCGGGTAAAGCGTTCGCTCGTCACGCCGAAGACCCGGGTTCTATTCCCCACATAGATGGGGGAATGTGTGAAGCCCATTTCTGGTGTCCCCCGCCGTGATATGGTATGCAACTAAACTCACTCACTCATTTAGAAATTGTTCAATGAGACGTCCAACTTACTCGCTCTTTCACATATGTAACAGACTTATGGTGAGACGTTCATTGATGACGACTACTTCCTGGCCCTTGTAGCCTCGTTTGGGTCCGTGAGTGTTGTGGCCGGGAATCTCTTCTGGGGCGTTCTTGCTGACAAGTATACATACAAGGTAATATGTTTGGAGATAAGTTTGAGAATTAAAGTGATTAATATTATATTTTGGATATGTTGGATGATCTTTGTTGCTTTCGTTTCGCGTGTCTGCAAGGTATTTTCATAATTTCTTTACGGATCTTTGACCTTATTTCTTTTATTGTCACTTTGTTGGAAAAAGAAAACGATTTGTATCTGGAGGGCCGAACTTGAAATCGACGCCGTTGTATGTGACCGTTTATAATGGTACTTACTCCCTCTTACTGATATCACTGTGTTGCATAAATAACTTGTATCCAGTCAGTGTCACACAGACCTTACCAACACATTCTTCAAATGTAAATCACTTTACCAACATACTCAGACCTGTTTATGCTCCTTATTGTACATGTTTGACACCCAACAACAGGTTGGCCCTTCGAGTTAACCATCAGTTTCTATATTTTGCAAAACGCAACAGCCTGTTCTGATGATCGTCAACTGTATGTTCGGCGTCTTCACCTCAACATTCTGTCTCACCGAGTATGGAGGGAAACCAATGTACTTCATCTGGGTGTGCGCAATACACTTCGCATTCACTGGGCCCTTAACAATCCTCCCCTTAATAGCGATGGAGACGTTCGGCAGCAAGCACTTCTCCGTTAACTACGGCCTTCTCAACACTACAGCGGTAACAATCCAGATTTTATCGAGATGGAAACTTATTTCGAGATCAATCATTTTATATTCTGTCGACTGAGAATTTGTTGAAACGAAATTCAAGACTATAATATTATCCCGAAAGAACGTGTCTTTTGTAAAAAGTAGAGAAAAAAGAAGTAAGGCAGTGGACGATGAAATACCAGCCCACCGGGTCACAAACCTACCCCTCTACCCGAATTAAATGACTAGTATCCTATATAATTAGTTCCTCTTATATGTGTCAAATCTGTATTTGAAAACTGATTGCAATCGCAAAGTATATCTGAATATATCAGATGATGTATTTGTTAACTTATAGGGTCATGCTTTCACTTTTTGCACTTTTCTCCACATATTTCGAAGTTCGGATAACTCGATATGTATTCAAAGATCATGTTGGCATAATGAGTTAGTATTAACATTTATGATTTTGTGACGGCGGTGAGATTAGTCTGACATATTTCGCTGACGTCCTTATTTTATGTAAAATCTTCATAATTCACTTTTGTTAACTGAATATCCCTTCACCTTTTTGATAGCCAGAATGATGATACTTTACAGGTTAACTGAATATCCCTTCACATTTCTGATAGCCAGAATGATGTTTACTTTTTACAGGTTAAGTGAATATCCCCTCACCTTTCTGATAGCCAGAGTGATGTTTACTCTTTACAGGTTAACTGAATATCCCTTCACCTTTCTGATAGCCAGAATGATGTTTACTCTTCACAGGTTAACTGAATGATCCCTCTTCACAGGTTAACTGAATATCCCCTCACATTTCTGATAGCCAGAATGATGTTTACTCTTTACAGGTTAACTGAATATCCCTTCACCTTTCTGATAGCCAGAATGATGTTTACTCTTTACAGGTTAACTGAATATCCCCTCACCTTTCTTGTAGCCACAATGTTGTTTACTCTTTACAGGTTAACTGAATATCCCTTCAACTTTCTAATAGCCACAATGTTGTTTACTCTTTACAGGTTAACTGAATATCCCTTCATCTTTCTTATAGCCACAATGTTGTTTATTCTTTACAGGTTAACTGAATATCCCTTCACTTTTCTGATAGCCACAATGTTGTTTACTCTTTACAGGTTAACTGAATATCCCTTCACCTTTCTGATAGCCACAATGTTGTTTACTCTTTACAGGTTAACTGAATATCCCTTCACCTTTCTAATAGCCACAATGTTGTTTACTCTTTACAGGTTAACTGAATATCCCCTCACCTTTCTGATAGCCACAATGTTGTTAACTCTTTACAGGTTAACTGAATATCCCTTCACCTTTCTGATAGCCAGAAAGTTGTTTACTCTTTACAGGTTAACTGAATATCCCCTCACCTTTCTTGTAGCCACAATGTTATTTACTCTTTACAGGTTAACTGAATATCCCTTCACCTTTCTTATAGCCACAATGTTGTTTATTCTTTACAGGTTAACTGAATATCCCTTCACCTTTCTGATAGCAACAATGTTGTTTACTCTTTACAGGTTAACTGAATATCCCTTCAACTTTCTAATAGCCACAATGTTGTGTACTCTTTACAGGTTAACTGAATATCCCCTCACCTTTCTGATAGCCACAATGTTGTTAACTCTTTACAGGTTAACTGAATATCCCTTCACCTTTCTGATAGCCAGAAAGTTGTTTACTCTTTACAGGTTAACTGAATATGCCTTCACCTTTCTGATAGCCACAATGTTGTTTACTCTTTACAGGTTGCCTTCAGTTTTTTCATGGCGTTTTTCTCCTCACATGTCAAAGATACCATAGGCTGGCATGGGATCTATTTACTTGCGGCTGGTTTTCTCGTCATTAGTAAGTTACCTTTCATGGAGTTCTGGGTTTATATTTGATGTCCCCTACAGCAACAACCTTCAATTCATGTAGAAATCGGATGCGTTGTGGTAGCTCCATGATAAATGTAATGGTCGTTTGAATATTTCTTTTCAGTTTGTTTTATCCCCCTAAATATGAATATCAACGGTCTTACAAGGTTTCTACAATGTTTCTCTTAAAGCACCAAAGCTAGGCAATAACAGTATTCACTAGTCTTGACTAGACTAGATTCGATTGGACATAAAAGGCAAATTATATATAAAAATTGTATGAATGATCAGTGAAAATTGGTGGAGACACAGGTGTTCAGAAACGTTTTACTTGTACAGAGCTCTTCACTCACTGAAATACGAAGTGACATCCAAAAAACGAAGTGTATAACATTTAAACCAAGCATTAACTGAAGCACTGAAGAAATGTAACTTGACCGTTGAAGAACTGCATAAGGGGGGTAACTCTTTACGGCACTTATATCACCTGACTACCAAATCACACTTGACTGTATAAAAACCGATACATCAGTTTACATTTTTTACACATTTTTGTTATGTTAGTTTTGTTTAATGAAGTTTGCAGAAGTGGTATTTACATTCAATGTCGGAAACATGAAAGGTTTTAAAATACAATTCGAAGATACGTTTCATTGTTTCATTGATCTGTAATATATATGCTGATGACATTTTAACATGATTCCCAATTATCCTTACTGTTACAGGTTTTGGGTTTTCTTCAGTCGTCTTTTTCAAGAGGTTTCAGAGATGACAGTGACACTGTTGACATTAAACCGTTTGTATATAATTAATACATGATTCTGTGCGTACTGTTCTGTTGTTATTGACCCATATTTACGTTCACGTACGCACTGTAACGAAAGTCGTGTGGTGTTGACATAAACAGGACTGGCTTCATTGAGATGTCGTAAAGATCGTGATTATGATACATGTCATAAAAAAAACATGTAAGCATACGTTACACGCACCAGTCTGCAGTAACTGTGGAGTGGGTCTTAGTCAGTACTTACCAGTTCGTGTACATAGCTATTTTCACATATAGCTTCCTGAAATTAGAATGAAGTAGGATTAAAGGACACAACAAAATAGCTCGCAATGCAAATCAGTGGTCTGTCTCCTCTATGCGTGATAAGAATAATTTCCATTAATTGTCCACTGCATCAGTACAGGAGTTGTATGCAAAATCATAATGACATAAATAAAAGCGATAATACTATAAGTCGATTGTAGAATTCCGACTATGATGAGCATGAGTTTGTGAACCATTATCAGATAGTGAGGTGCTCGAAAACAATGGAGGCACGGACGTTGGACTACTTCCCAACAGTCCCGTGACGATCCGGGATAGAATTGATCTGCAGTAATCAGTGATTGTCGTAAGGGGCGACTCACGGGATCAGGTGTTCGAGAACAGAGTAGGCCCGGACGTTGGACTACTTCCCACCAGTCCCGTGAATATCCCTGTTAGAATTTATCTTCAACAACCAGTGCCTCTCGTAAGAGATGACTAACGGGATCAGGTGCTCGAGAACAGTGGATTGTTTGAGCTGTGTTACCATATTAACGTAAGAAGGAATACGACGCCATCTCATCTCCCTTTGTTGATTCCGCTTGACACGTGACAAACCATATAACAGAACCTGCCTGTTTGATCCGTATCAGTGAACACTTAAGACAAGCCAAGGTCAAATGTTCAGCCTCCAATTATGAATAGACAACGACTCTGAGAACTAGAATCCTGTCCGAAACTTCGGATTGTTATTTCTATTTTTTCCCACTTTTTGGTTACATTTCCATTCATTTCAAATCAACAATACATATATGTGCATATGTCATATCTATAACATATCTAAACATTTTTTAAATGTTATAAGGCAGAATGGGCCTAAAAGTAGGTTCAACACAAGAGTTGGTGTTGTATAAAAAGGATGACACTGATTTCTTGACTCCCTCAAGTCGGAAAGTCTGTTTTGATATTACATCTTTTTACAAAGTTTTTATAATCATATATTTTTCCATCATCATCTATCATGTCTCTGAAATATGATTTCTATTTAAACTTGTGAAAACCCTAGACATGTATTCCTGCTTTCAGATAGCTTTTAGTTTGGTTGAAGGAACGATTTCGTCTCAGCTGAAGGATACCCTGGGGTGGCACGGCCTGTTACTTCTGTCGGCTGGCATAGCTGTTATCAGTTCGTTATTTTGTGGATTCACGAGCAATTAAAGAATTTCTTTCCTTTAGTGACTTAGTGAGTGAGTGAGTATGGTTTTAAGGACAAAGGAATTAGCTTTACGCTTTGTACCCTTGTGGGGAAACTAAACCCTGAATTTCGGCGGGACGAGCGAATACTTTAACTACTACATTACCCCAGTTTTGTTAAATTTAACGTTGTATCGGTTTGTTTCCAGTCTGTATGGCCGTTATTCGAATAATGCCGTGGAACGTTTCATATTTTAATGTTATGACCACGTTGAGATACTAAAGGGCTTGGAAACAATTTCTTTTACCGTGGTATTCATGTATATGCCAGTGAATGGTTGAAATTAAGTATGAATCTGCTTGATGAATTTTACTCAGATGGCGTCTCACATGTTCTCTTGTTACTTATGCTCTATTTCAATACCTGGGCAATGGACGAAAAGCCAAAACCTCTTTGTGATTTGATGAGATGAATAGCTGTAACATTTTAGGACGGTTCGTAGTGTTTGTGTTAAAAAATGTAACTCCGTGATGCCAGGGATGTCCTTCATATCCTGCGAATATCAGCAGGGGATTGAGAAGACCATACAAGAGAAACAACACAGGCAGCAATCATGGCCAGTGTGTTACCAGGACACACATATGGGATGACTGCGAAAAAGGAGACAAAACACAACAGAAAGACATACAGTATATTTCAGTTAGATAAGGCCACCGGTCCATAACACAAGGGCAATGCAGGGGAAAGCGTATTGATGCGCACATAAAATGACATAATAGGTTCAAGTCACAAGGGATATGGCTGTACAGAGAAGCGCCTGTAAAGTACCCACATGTACATAATAGAATGTTTCACAGTGAGCTTTGAGTTGCCTGTCACCTTTAAAAAAGAAAATAATAAAGAAACAAAAACAGAGAAAAAACAAGGCAATACACACACCATAGATTCTGTTGTACATACTTGTTTGTACTTCCAATGGTTCATATCCTAGTATGCATTTTAATAAACTGATCAATATATTTCCTTCTTAACTCTTTAACCAAGTTACATTAAACAATACATGGAATTATTTTCAATAACATTCACATTATGTTACTTAAATTAGGAGCATAGTCTCTGTCCATATGGTGTACGTGTGTATCGTCCAGTTTCGACATGAAAGCAAGAATTGCCACATCCAAACCTTACAAGTAATGATTTAAAATACAAAGGAATAGACAGAGAGGAAAAGCTTTGTACTTTGGATGGTGGTTTATAATGTTGGTGATTATATTGATTAGAAAGGTGGGGATGGAGGAACGGAACGTTTGTTTGAGAGAATCAGACCGTCTAAGTTTTTACTACTTATAAAGTACCTGCAGTCACCAACATCTTGAGCAAGTTATACATGTCCAAAACCATGAAGAAAAAATGTTTAATGTATTGTTACGGGTAATAATTTGCCGTGGCAAAAGGCTTTAGAGTCCTCGTTGAACCACCAAAATAGAACACAGACAAGTATAAAATATTCAATAATATATTGAATAAACAATGAGCAAGTTACAATGAATGACAATGACAAATATCTAGTACAATGCAATTTAGTCACAAATCTAACATGTTGGGTCACAAATATAAACTATTAACTCACCAGAGTCTTGACATTTACAGTGAGAACTGATATACTGATTGATAATTGTTTACAATGACAGCAGTTGAATAGACAAGCACGATATCAGTCTTGAAATGTTGAACAACTTGACGATGGCAGACAGTTGTGTATAAATCCAGTCACGTGAAAAGTCCCGTGTCGTACTACTCAACAACCAGCCTTTATATAGCTCTTACACAGTTCTCGATCATTCTAGCAAAGTTAGGCTCCATCATTATCCTCTCAGAACACCATGGAACCACGTAGAAAACACATGACGTGACAAGACCCGGAATTCAAAAAGAAATATAGCCAGCCAAGGGAGGCAACTCTGAAGCGCTATCAAAAAAGGTGCGCCGCTACAAATACCATTGCCATTGAACATATATGATGCGAGATGTGAACCACAACCCACACTCGAAACTTTAAACATTGTGACCCATAATAACTATGCCTTAATCAATGTGATATTACAAATGACAAAATCACACTCTCATAGCAGTATAGATCCAATGTTGTACGTCTTGCAGCATCAAGTGATAGTAGCATGAGGAAGGACTGGTGAGGTATTCGGTTGGACTAACATACGCAGTATTTAAAGGCTCTGGGCATATAATGATATTGTAGGGATACTCTGCCAGGTTCCCCTTTGTATATTTACCCACTTTCAGGTACCATTTACAGAGTATATTTTTGAATAATTTTGTTCCTCTCCAATAAGGTGTACCCTAGACCTCTGATCCATAATAAATTATACATGTAGGTAAAATACAAACATCAAATATTTTGAAAATGTCTTGCGGGCATATCACCAAATGTTCTCTGGTAAGAGGATAGTACCATAACAGCCTTACTAGCCTGGGAAATTAAACACGCCGCTGGGCCCTGGTACAAAAGTGGCGGTGGGGTAGTCTAGTAGTTAGCGCGTTCCCTCGTCACGCCGAATACACGGGTTCGATTCATGGGTACAATGTGTTAGCCCAGTTCCGGTGTTGCCCGCCGTGATATTGCTGCAATATTACTAAAAACGGCGTATAACTAAACTCACTCACTCTGGTACACACAAGACAACACACAATATACAAATACCAGTAGAAGGGAACAAATTTCAAAATACCTCCGTTCATAGTTACGTAGGCGCCCAGAGTTTCTAAAGATCACGACCTTATTTTTTCTGAGATAAACCCCCATTCCTGTTTGCTTAAAAAATATCCCTAAAGCATTCATTCTGCTCTGTAAATCCAGAGCTGTGTCTGCAACACCTGACACGTGGTCCACAAGCATCAAGGCAAACAAATTTTCTTTATTGCCATTGATGTGAACGCCCTTTCCGCTAGATTCGTCCAAAGTTGCGATAAGCCTGTTAATAAATATAGAGAATAGCGGCAGACTCAAGACACAGCCCTGCCAGGTACCGACATGACACCTGAACGAAGAAGTAAGGCTTGCTACTGTTGCTAAATCATGATGTAAGCTTACAATACATGAAGGATTTAATATTAATTAAGATGTACTACCAATTATAACAGTCTTCATACGAGATAGGGACCTAAACCCACCAATCTCGGAACTGTCAAATTTGAAATATCCGGCTAACCTGTTGGGTTAGCACTGACGTCATGACTACTGATATGGTCTTAGCAAATCCTATTGCAACATCATCTGGTCCTGGTGTTTTATTATTCCTCAGTCTGTGTATTCACTTGTTGTTGGGAAATATGATAATTTAAATTCTTAACATACATCATGTACACAATCGGCTTCTGGTATAGAACTCTCAACAGTTACTGTAATGGTTTGTTGGTCGCTACTTAGCAAAGATGAGAAGTAACCCTTTCATCAGCATTAGCAAGGGGGGGGGGGGGTATTCTAGAACTACACTAGTTTTAAGTAACAGTCTAGGCGTTCCAAATAGCGATAACATACATGGGCTT